CCCTGTGATAGGGATACTAATAGTGAGATTAGCGACATTTATCACGACGGGGACGACTGGCTTTTCGGCAAAGCTGTTGGTCCGACTATTCTAGACGCTCACTTGGTCCCACTAATTACCCGTCTTCAAGACTGCAGGAGGCAAGATCTGATACCCGGCATCTTGGTGGCGTACGCAGCTCGAGTCAGATCTACGGTTGCATGGAGAGAAGCGACGCATGGGAGACCAACTATGTGGGATATTTCCATGGGTCATGTAGCTGACATGGAAATGTAGAGATTTCGGTCACAGATTTCATGTATGTAGACTTCATCCAATTGAGGCGGATTGCCTCCTCATAGTTCCAAAAGCCTGTTGCACAACCATTCACATTTCCCCTCAATTAATACGACAACAGTGAGCAGTGCCCCTCCAACGGAACAAGATCGAAATTCCCATGTCTGTATCCACTCAATAAGTCAGGAACAAATCTGCATGTTCCCATCAAACGATCCAATCAAGTAGCTCCATGACCTTCCGGATGAGCAGCTATAGCAAGCTGCGGGTACACCCGTCATCAATGCTTCAACGATGAAGCGTCGCACCGAGACAATTTTCTTTTGAATCGTTGCCTAAACGTTTGCAGCCTGTTTATGAAGACGGTTAGGCCCAAAATGGGTTAGACAAACAGCTACACCGCGTCCTAAGCGGAGCTTTCAATCCTACCCCATGCTGACGGCAGGGATTCTTTGGGAATCTCACGCTCACATTGGTGGGTTCGGTTTCACCCTGGCGTATCCCACAATTTCTCTTCCGAGGTTGGTGGGCACAGATATTATCTTGGGCTGTCTCCGCTCGCATTCCTGCAGCTCGCCCTCGGACTCCCAAAGTTCTTTCTCATCAGGCTGCCAGCTCACCGAGGGCGTCCAACGGCCATTTGCCCCTGACCGGCACGCGCACCACGTCAGTGGCTGGTTCGGACTTGAGACCAACAGACTGACAACAAGGCTGGCTCGAGCCTTTACGGATATTCGTACCGGTCGTCTTGTGTTTTTAGCAGAATTATGGCTCGGAAAGGCAGCCGAAAGGTTAGGACGGGATGCTTAACCTGCAAGTAAGTTCCATCTATTGCCGTCCGATTGGATCGCGGGTCACGAACCCGAGAGTAAGGTTTTCAAGATGAGCTGGCGCCTTGTCTAACGCTCGCTAGAGTACGTAAAATCAAGTGCGATGAAAGCAGACCATCCTGCAAGCGCTGTACCGCGACTGGCCGGAAATGCGATGGCTACCCACACGTCGCCGACTTGACAGATGTCTCATCCAGCTCCCCGGGTTCGGGTCCGTCTGTGGTCCTGACGGTCCAGCCAAGTCGCGCCTCTCCGGGAGTCAGTTCCCCAAGCGACAACCGCGCTCTGCAATACTTTGCTGAAGCCGTGGGGCCGCTCCTCTCAGGGGCCGTGGATCCTTACTTCTGGACGCACATAGTCATGCAGTTCAGCACATTTGAACCGGCGGTAACGCACTCCATCCTAGCTATCAGCGACCTCTACGAGCAGTTCCACACCGGAACCGATGAGATCGTTGCCCCACGGGACTACAGCTTTGCCGTGCGCCACTACAACGCGGCCATGAGAGAGCTGATTGGCATGAAGACGCAGGACAAGCACCCCACGGTCCTGCTCGTCTGCCTACTGTTTATCTGCATCGAATTCCTGCAGTCTGGGCGCGAAGCCGCTATTAAACACTGCAAGCATGGGGTCGCGCTCCTTCGGAATACCCACAGCGAGTTCCCCTGGACCAAGGAGCATCTTCTCCCACTTTTCCGACGCCTGACAGAGTACTCGTTCTTCTTCAGCGGCGAAAAGGCCGACTTCCCGGACCTGAGCGGACTGGAACATCCTGTACCCCCAAGCTTTTCCTCGTTCCAAGACGCCCAGTTGATGATTGATGATCTCTACTGCCAAACCCTCCAGCTCATGAAGCAAGGATATCCTTTTCGTTCCCTGTCGCCAACGGGAAATGGCGTTCCTCCGAAATTACTAGCGCGGCAAGAGTACGTCAATAGTATGCTCGACCGGTGGAGCATTCTCTTCACCCAGCTGAACAACCAAAGCAAATACAGGTCCTCCCCCACAACCAAGGCTTCCGAGGCAAAACCAGATTACGTACCGAATATGCTGCGTGGTTTTCTCTTCACTCGATACGAGTGCTGCCGTATTTGGCTGAATATGGCGTTCACTAACAATCTGACTGGTTATGACAAGTACGTGTCAAACTACAGCCAACTAGCGAAAAATCTCGCCGAAATGGTCCTTCAAATATCAGAACACTCGAAGATGGAAGGCGTCCACGCCAAAACGTCGAAATTCATGTTCGAAACGGGGTACACGCCAATGCTATTCTTTTTTACGACGACATGTCGTCATCTGGAGACGCGGCTGGAGCTACTTCGGCTGATGCCCATCCTCGGACTACCGCGAGAGAATTTGTGGGAGATGGCGACACTAGTTGCCGTGGCACGGAGGGTCATTGAGCTCGAACACGGCATTTCGCTGGACCCTGCCGGGCGGCCTACGGTCCCGGTCTCACCCTCCGTGCCTCTACCGCCAAACGAAAAGAGGGTGGCGGATATCTGGACGGAGCCCAGGACCGAAGAAAGAAATATGAACGGGCACATTGTGCGTGGAAGAGTGGTTGGGTTCTTCAGACGTGACAAGCCTGACGGTGGCACATCTCTCCACACAGAGTTTGTGGAAGTAAGGAATGTCAAGGAGGAGCTAGGCGAAGGAATCGCGACTGTAGTGGTTCCATAGTATATACTTTGTACGATGGGCCCAAAAGGAATGATCATCAGCTAATACCAAGTCTTTCTGGGGCGACATGGATCTTCAGAACCCCGGTTATCGGTGTACTCTTTGTTATCAATCCAAACAAAATACCAAATTCAGCAAAGGTCCTTTAATCGCGACGTTTGTTGAGTGAATTATGTTTCTTGAAATCTGACAAGGTTGAATCTTGCAGCAATAGTGTGTTTCCTCTGGAATCTGTTCAGTCCTTCTCATGGAAAGCAGACATCGCTCATCTGGTTATCCCAGACTTTTTTAGCAGCGATCTTCTCAAGTTGCTCTCTCAAAATGTACTTGCACACATTCTCCCTCAATGGATTCGACAACCACCTCCACAGAAGACACTGCGGAGAACATTGGCCTTAAATATAACAGTTACGTATTTTAAGTCATGTACCGCTGTTCTCACTCTTACTACGTTCCAGTTTTGTTTCTTAACACTATCAGCATCGGCCGCATCTCTGCGTGTCAAACTCTTCGTAGCAACGGTGGCATCATCTGATAGGTGCCAAGGTGAAATGACACATACCAACTGCCACATAGCTGCCTAATGTACGTGCCGCAAGAGGTCTAAGGAAGTCTTAACGCGACAAAGCCTGTTGCTGACTCGGAGTGATGTGAATCTTGGGGAGACAACAAACATGTATTCCCAGGAACCCAGTACAGTAACCGAAAGGCAGAAGCAGGAATGAGAAAGGTGTCGAAATGTGACAGTTAGCTCTTCTCAATACCTTGCTTGTCTGTATCCTAATCAATCCGTCGTTGCTAATCTCATCTTTGTATTCAAACTCCATTTTCTTACCTTGCCCTACCAGTTAGATGTCTCTTGCCTCTACCTCAGTGGCCAACTAGCAAACCCTGCCTTATTCGTAACATGTCGTCTGAGAAATTCAGCCTACCTCACCGGACGCAATGCGAAAAGTTGGGGTACCCCAGATATTTTCTTGGCTGCCACGCGGATTTTTCAATTTTTCAAAGCCACATGGAGATACGTCGGAGCTCACGTGGACTTTCCGCCATTCGGCGTTTGATTGTCAGTACCACGCGCTTCAAAGCAGCTCTGTCTTGCACTGACATGATTTTGATCGCAGTATCAAGAGGAGCTCATTTGAGCCACTTTCTCAGAAGCTGGTGAACTGGACTGATTGATAATTCCTGGAGATATACCGCATCGTACATGTGAATGTTCTTCGGATATAAAGTCACGAAATCCGCAGGTCGTCTTTTGCTGACAGTTTTCCCTTGGGGTTGTGATTTCTGTTCCAATTAGGCTTTCGAGGATCCTGGCACATCGAACCACAACAAACCCCGAGAAGCTTGACGTAATACCCTTTCAAACTTTAGGGGTAGTATTCCCACCTACCGGCCGCCAAAAATGCAACTCACCAAGACCCTGCTAGCAATCGTGTCAATCCTCGCTTTCGCTGGTTCGTCATATTTACTCAATTGAAACCCACTTTTGACACGCAGCGTGCTAACTTGTTGCAGAGGCCTAGAAAGCGTGCAAATTTGGCACTTGCCAGGGACGATTAGGTGCATGCTGTGACAGTTCCGGTGCATGCGAGATCTTGAGCAACGAGTGTCCGTAAGAGGATAAAACAAGCTGAACTTTGAGGGTGACGATTCATGGAGTTTTCTTGAGTAGGTGAGCGGGTTGGTGGGAAGTAGACATCGCATCATTGACTCAGGCGGAGGCTCAACTTGAAAGGACGAATTCAAACGTGTACAACCAATGAAAATTGCCAACAAGATTGTAGCCATTGGTGTCTGACCCACGATTCATCTGATTGAAGAACTGCAGCACACGAAATTAGAGTTATCGAAATCTCAATTCCCGTCTTGGCTCCGGTTGGAACACACCGTTCGTCATTGTGATGCAAACCTACATCTTTGGGCCTTGCCCCCACAAATCCGGCTTTGTCCTTGAGATAACCTCTTCTCATCTTCAACGCGTTCGTGTTCATCTGCTGCAATATCGCTCAAACAAGGCATGCTTATCACATCCCCATTTCTGTACACATGATCCAACTGCTAAGCACCATCGTTCGGATGTCTTCGGTAGACGTCTTGCTGAATGCTGCCTCATACAGTCTTATCGCCATTGACGAGGACCTATAGGGCATTGTGTGTAAAAGTCGCCTATTGGAGACTCCGGCAGTATGTATTCATCATATTATTTTGAACTGTCCCATATTGCAAGGCATCTCGACTTTGATGAGATCGCCATCAAAAATTCGTCGGTATGGTAGGGTGACGTGCCAGAGTCGCGCCTAAAGTATGGCCGTAATATCATACCGCGATGGCACCAATTCCCATTTCACCTCCGTATGTGTACCAAACTCTTCTCTATCCCATAGCCAGTCACCTGTATTTTGATCCAAAGACAGAACATAAACTTTTCGTAAATTTTGTGATGACCCCTTCACCCATCTCACTGCTCATTTCTGGATATCTCGTAATTCGGCAGCACTTATTTCGATATCGTCATCGTCGTCAGAGTGCCCCGCTTCCCTTTCGAATGTCTGATCTGCGTCGGCATCATCGTCGTCTCGCACACGGCGCTCGCCCAATTCTGCGTCACCGTCATCAAGCGCATCTGCTGTTTCGAGGCCGATCGTTGTCGGTGTTTTTGATCGCCTCTGCTCCCAGCTCTTTCTCGTGCTCGTGCTGTTGCCGTCAGGATCAAGTGGAATAGTGACGGCGTCATCCCTTAACGTAGATATGCCGCGTGATGGTCGGGTTAAGGTTCTTAATGTTGACTCCTGGCCAGGTGACGTAATCCAGTTGATCACCAGAGCCGAGAAGAAGACTAGAACGTCTATGTCAGACTTTTCCACCTGGGGCACTGCGAAACTACTCACTATCAGTGTTGCAGCATAGCAAGCACAGCCATGCCACCTCTCCATTCAAAGCCATGAGAACACTCAGATTTCTGATATCCTGATTAGTGCTAGCTCCCTTCAAACCATCAATGAAAAACGTACGTCACACTGCTAACAAGGGTGCAGCAAGAACCGATGAAAGTGCGTATCACGAGCTTTCGTAGCCGAACATTTGGTGGAGCTCTGGGGATGCGACGATTACGCCAGTCCAATGTCCATGGCTTCCAGAAGTTGTACTTTACGGAATGTAGACCTGGGAAGCATCAGCAACCGTACAACGTAAGTGTGTCTTTAGTCGCTTACTCAGTAAAGGAAGTAAAAATAAAATTGTGAGATAAACCTGGTCTACATTAGATCAAGGCGGGTTTCACGAACCGAACGTATACTTACGTTCACAGCTGCGTCGAAAGAGATGAGTGGGAGCAACACCGGCTGCTCCATCCCAATAATGCAGATGCCATTCTCAAAATGAGTAATTCGGCTGAGGAGATTATTAGCCGAAGAAAAGCCTCTAGAGTCATCCAGACATACAAAATAAAGTTCATGATAACAACCAGGACGAACACACCTAGCACAGAGGTCAGTTTATAAAGACTACGCGTGATTGGAGCTTCGAAACGTACCCAACATGCCGAATGAGTTGAAGAGATAGAGTTTCGACTTTAAGCGCCTTTTTCTCGTTTGTCTAATGATGTGCTACACATTGATGTGAGTCACATGAGTCAAATATGTCGCACAGATTGACTTACTGCCCTATCAACCATGAATAGGTAGATGAACTATTCCTCCGGTTAGATACCGATGTAGTGCACGCGGATGGCACGCACTTACCAACTGATTCCGCGGTTAGTCAAAGATATCGTTGAGAGTTGCGATGAGTCTAGCTTACCTTGGTAGACACATATGCCCCCAAACAGAAGAGGGTCGCTGCGGAACAAGTGTCGAAGTTCAGATCGGCTCCAAATCCGAATTGTAGGATTGAAGTGCCGAATACAAACAGAAAGGAGAAGAAGTAGATCAGTACCACGACTTTGAAAGTTAGTAAATGTCATGGACAAAGGCGTATAATCGCGAGGGTTCCTTACGCCACATCGTCCATGGTAATGCCTTCCAGTCCTTCACTGATGTCCATCTCATCACTTTCAAGATGTTAGCATATTGCATTTGACATCGATTTTGTCATGAATGCACTGACCAAAAAGGCTTGCAAGGAGACAGGCCGATATCATGGCGACGATGATGCTGACGACCTTCCCGGCGAGAGGCTCCGCCTCATGATTGATGCTTAAGCGGCGCATCACCGCCTCGACGCGTTCCAGCCCCATAGCTCCAGCTCCTGCGTGCTGTCGCGAATTGCTATTGAGGCCCCATCAAGACAATTGTCTTTGACTTCCAGCCCGGAGAAGCCGATCCTAGATGTGCCGAGCGGAAGCGGAGGTGCGTGAGGGAAAACAGGGCGATGCGGAGGCCCGCGATGAATCAATGTTTCGAGATCCCTCGAGGACGACGATGAAATTGGTCGATGCTTCCGCTGACACTTGCTCTTTTGTCCTTGTAGAGGATAAAATGGTGCGCTCAATTCTGTACGGTGAGGCGGGAGGGGGTGATGGGTAATTCTGTGAAACGGCACGGGGCAACAGGGAAAGATGGGCATTGATTGGGAAACTTTAGCATTGCCCTTTGGGGGGGCGGGATCAATCGGATCTTGTTCCTCATGTATGGAAATCTAAGGGATTCTTGCGCACGCTCTCATAGATAGCTGCCGCACGTGGCAACCTAGTGCCGTGCGTGTGCGCGGAATGTCCAAGCGGTGATGAACAAATACCGTCAACTCTCGACGAATAGAGTTTTGGTCAAACGCGCCATGCAACGGTAGGATGGTGGCTTACCAGCCAGACCTGACTCGCGTCCTACCTCTTTCCATCCCCGACGTTGCCTACGGCAAATTTGTTCCGTCACGGCTCGTTCTCGCTTGGACCGGGAGCATTGGGTTTAACCAAGAAATTGACTCTTTGGATCCGTCGACAATGGAACAATGGAAGGAGATGGCGCAGCCACGTGACACCGCCACGGGTCCGATCACTTGGAGCCGGGCCTCTGTCTTCATCATTCAAGCACTCAGGGTCCTATGCGAGCAACCGTTCTTCCGATTTTTGGAATCGCGGTTTCAGTTTTGGGATCACCTTCCAGACCTTGCGTCTACCTCCTAGATAGCCCCATTCAGAGTCGGCCGAGATGTTTGCGGCTCTCCTCTCCGCCGGCCCTGTCTTCAGGGGCTCTACGGGGCGGCACGTATGGGCAGATCGAACCTGGACTCAAACAATCGCGCGAGAGTCGTCAAAAAATGTTTCCAGGGTGAAGGTGAACACGATTCACTCATCTGCGGTTTGGCATATAAACACGGCATGAGAGACTCCTTGGTGTTGTTAAAATGAAGTCAACAATTTCCGACCTTCCAAGTTTCGATCAACTGTTCTCTCCGAGACTCAACTTTTCTTCGCTATTTCGGCTTGCTGGAAAAAATATATTGCATCTTGTCCTCACAGACCATTCATCATCTACTTACGTCAGACACAAAATGCGTTCTTCAACCACCCTTCTGTCTACCGTGTTGTTTCTCACAGCTACTGTCTTCGGGTAAGTGTTCCCCTACTCGGCTAGATCTCCGTGGCTCTAGATCCATTAGATCCTGCATGCGCATGCTAACTCGTTTTGCGCAACACACAGACAGGGAACTGGAGAATACGGGACGTACTACTGCATGACAGTGGAGGGAAAGCCAGCCCCGAGCAACAATTTCTGCAATGCAGTAAAAGGCGCAGTCCTCCCTTCCCCTGGCGTAAGTGTCCAATCTAGTGGCGAGGACTGAGATGATTTTTGTAGCTGATGAATGGCTCTTAGTTCTGCTGCATTCGCTCCTCCGACTTTGACAGACTCCAGGCCCTTTCGAAAGGTTGCGCGGATAACGGTTTGGTACTTGGCCAGAAGAAGGTCCCTTGTAGCCCATAAATTAGAGTGGGGGATGCAGGACTAATGAATTTGAGCGAAATGTTTTCTTCCCGAAGTTCTTTGTCGTAAGGTGGTAGTTACTGAGCAATTCAAGCTTGCCATATGTCGTTTCCTGGTCTTTTGAATCTCTCGATAACTGAAAAGGGCATAGTTCACCACTATTCGTATTCATGATGAACCCGTTTTTGAACCAGGTATAGTTGAATCAATAGACAATGACCCCAGATGGTATCCACTGAATAGAATTCGTTCCCGCCCCCTGAGCCGCCTGGGTATATCCGATGAGAGCGGGACCCGGAGATCATTGTCTCAGGTAGAGGCCGACAGCCGTCATATGGTGGTGAACGGGGGTGATTGTTGAGGGCGCTACTCAGGTACATGGGTTTCCCAAGAACGCCGTCAGTATTCTCGGGTCTACCGACATGAAGCTTCGGCTGTAAGAGGGAACGGCGGCAAAAACTCCTACTTCGAAACTTCGTATGCGTAAATAAGCCTTAAAGGTGTGTGGCACTGGTCAAAGTCTTGGCACGAACCCCAGGCGCTCGGATATGAATCCGGCTCCCACTTGGAGCTTATTTGCGGGTCCCACATCTCCACACCTCAAGGAATGAAGCTGTCGTGGCCCTAGAGCAAATCCAGTAGAATCCCATCAGGACCGAAGTGCGCGCGGTTAGAGTGTGATACTAGTACCTCTAGAGTCTACTGAGGAAGGCGTGCCCTAATGCACTAGCACAGAGCTTGGTGATGCGGCTGCCCTCCTGATCATCTTCAGGTAGTTTTGATGCGACACCTATCTGGAGCAGAATGTCTTCTATCTGTATTCATGTTGTGTCTAGTTCAAGTGTGCAGAAAGCTAAAGCGAGGGTGACTCAGCCCATGTCGCTCCAGTGAGTTCCCTGTTGTTTAATACATCTTGAGTAATGGTACTGTATTCCGGTCGTGGGGAAAAGCTTCGATTAGTATGTCACCTAGCTGGCAGTGACGTCGAGGTCATCACCCTATGCACCGTATTTTACCTAGAGTTGCCATCGAATTCGTCAGTAAAATCATACCCATCAAGTTCCTGCTCTGTAGCTAACGAGCTGCTGATGGCAGGTTTGATCTGCCCGTTGATTAGTCATATCTAGGCTGCAGAGTCGGGGGAAGGTTCGGCATCGGTAGGCGGCCCAAATGGAACTTTTCTTTTCATAGAGGAATCTAGCCGCTTTCTACTACTTGTGCCTTCGACTTGATTCCTCTCTTGACTATTTCTTAGCCTACCCTGGAGCGGGCAAAAATCCGAGATTCACAACACTAGATACGAGATTACAAAGGATTGATCTTGAGACTATTTAGGTTCCGCTCCTGCATGTGTCATTTCGGCGGCCCGTGAGTTGCGAGGCACATGGGCGTGTTCGCGAACAGACGGTCCGTCAAGGTCATACCGGTATCGGCCTTGAGTATTTCCTCATCGAGATACTAGATGTCTTTGTTGATTGGTTAATCAATACTTCCGTCCGAACATCTTTGTCTGGACACTGTTTCTTCAAACAACTGTTGGTTGTTGCCACCAGATGTTCAGTGTCATTTTGATAGCAACTTTTCTCTTGACTAATCTCGGTGTCAGAAAGGACTGTGATTTTGCTTCTTAATCCCTGGCCGAGGTTCCTACTTATTGGCGTTGATGTGATAAACAAGCTGCGTTGCTAGTTTCGTTAGGTGATCAGTGGAGGTCCCCCATCATTTTTCGATTGTCCTGAAAATTCAAGATCTTATGACCCTAACCCTAACCCATTTGTCTCTGAGTCTCCCCGAACTACCACGGCCCTTCTGATCGTCGCCGTGATATAAATTTGACGATTTCTTCGGCCACTAAGGTATTTATGTTCTCTAAGATATAATTGCAAGCCAGGTTTATCAGCAGAAATACAAAAACGTCCCCGTTACCAGTAGCATGACTTCTCGACTATTAGATGCTTTAGGCTACTAACGCACGATTGCGAAATGCTACACGTTGATAACGAGGGTCTGAGGTATTTACGTAAGGAGCTGAAGAATCTAGAGTCTAAGTAAAGCTAGACATTAGCACACTCACCTAGAACACATCTTATTTAGTTGGATTAGATTTGCTATACTACGTGCGTGAGAAGGCTCACCCTATATAAATCTATCTCTATACATAATCTACCTTTGATAGTGTATACTAGCATGTACGTATCTCTCCAAGTTAATAGTATAACAGGACCCTGTAATATGGGCAGAGCATCACGCCCAATTATTTCCTATGTCAAATAGGAAAGTCCCATCCGTCGGTAACAGGTTTGCACGCCATATTTCCCAAACAGGCCTTCACAGAGACTACCTTCTAGAAGCACATCACCGATTTACTGGGGTGATTTCTCGTTATCGCTATGCTACTCGATTAACAACGAGTCGACGAAGCCTTGAGCGTAGCTGACTAGGCCAGCAATTGTGATACTCGCCTTGCACATGTAGCATGTTAACATGAACGCTTAGAGAGAGAGAGAGAGAGAAAGAGAGAGATGAGCGTGTCTTACCTATCATATTGGATGCTGAAGTATCATCGATTTGACACCATGTGTGAACCAATGAGCCACACAATTTATTTAAGATGCAGGGAATACGCGGTGATGATGCTGACCGACGACGCAGTGCTTACGCCAAGTGTTCCCCCTCCCGATGCTTGATCCTCCGGGAGCACCCGCCACTCGCTTGCATTTGAGTGGCCAATCCCGTAGACCCATTCGTCGAGATTGACGTTGCCTACTGCAGTCTTGATTCGATACAGTACCACCGGGCGACTGCTGTCAGATACTATCGAGTGACTATGTCTCTGTTGATGTTACATTCCCGTCAGCCTCGCAAGAAGCGAAGATGAGGGACAGTCGCACTTTTGAAAGGATCCAGACCCCACCTAGCTGCACTTACTTTTCACATTTGCTGACAACTGCGGGGTTGGTATGTTGATTATGGGAATTGGTCTTGTATAAATGATCAGCGGAGCCTCATAGCATCGGCATACCACCCAGTCCACCCAGCGAAGCAAAGTGCTCCCGTCAAGAAGATCCTCTACCAACGTCCGCCGCGACAAATCACCCATCATGGCAAGCGCAAACTACTCCATGTACCAGCTCAGCGCCGACCACACATTCCACTTTGAAATCCTCCGCGCCCTTAGCCAATCCGTCTACGACGGCGCCGACCTCGGCGAAGTCCTCACCACCGCCAACAAGATCATCCCCGGCGACTTCGCAAGCTACGCCACATCCTTCTCCAGCCTCGCCTACAGCGTCCTCGACCGCGCAAAGAGCATCGCAAAGGCCAAGTTCCCCGTCTCCGCGCGCAGCGCCTTCTTCGCCGCAGCGACATACTTTCGCAGCGCAGACTTTTACCTCCACGAGAACGCGTCGGATCCCCGCATCTACGAGCTGTGGGGCAACCAGACTGCCGCGTTCGATGAGGGCCTCGCGTTGTTACCGGTGCCGAATCAGCGTGTGACGATTGAGACGGCTGACTTTGATATCCCGGGTATTTGGTTCACGCCTGATGAAGAAGAGACGCAGCGCCCGACGATCATTATGGGTAACGGATATGATGGGTCCCAGGAGGAGATGTACCACGCCATGGGCGCCGCCGCTCTCGAGAGGGGATATAATGTCCTCACATACGAAGGACCAGGCATGCCTTCCGTTCGGCGGTACCAGGACGTCGGCTTCATCTACGATTGGGAGCGAGTGATCACCCCCATCGTAGACTGGCTCCTCGAGAAACCCGAGGTCGTCGACCCGTCCTCGATCGGCCTCCTCGGGTTCTCCTTTGGCGGCTACCTCGCCCCCCGCGCCGCGGCCTTTGAACACCGCCTCGCCGCCATCTTCGCCGTCGACGGCGTCTGGGACTGGCCGGTCGTCGTGAACGCTACCCTCGGCGCCGAAGCCATGGCGATCTACGACTCAGGCGACAAGGTGGCCTTTGACGAGTACGCGAAGCGGTTCCTGCAGCCCGGCGTGCCCGCGACGCTGCGCTGGGGTCTCGGGCACGGGATGTGGGCGTTCAACACCGCGTCCGCGTACGATTTTGTGACGCTGTCGTTGGATTATCGCATGGAGCCTGTGGTGGATCAGATCCGGACGCCTGTCTTCGTGGGCGATGCGCAGAACGATTTGTTCTTCAAGGGTCAGGCGGCTGTCCTTGCGGAGGCGTTGGGGGAGTGGGCGTATTTGCATCACTTTACGGAAGAGGATGGGATTGGCGAGCATTGCGGTATTGGGGCTTTCAAGCAGCACAACCAGGTTATTTTTGACTGGTTTCAAACCCTTTTGGACGGGAAGATCACGAGATAGAGAGTTGCTCGTTTATAATTCGGCCATTCCTGCCTTTTTTTTTTTCCGGTTCCCGGATTTTGTTGTCAGCTTCAAGAACGTTAGGAACTCATTTGTTAGCTGAGCTGTTTGTATATCTTCAATTGTGGCGTAAATTGGAGGAAACGACACCACAACCGTGCTAGATGGTTCCTCAATTCCTTGGTTGCATCTTCTTCTGACAATCATGTGAGGAGCTGGCTCATTATGTGGACAAGGCGGACGAAGAGCCAGCTCACTATACGTGTGAGAATTGCCAATAGTACATTGTTTAACTGAATTACATATTTGCCAATATTGGCTAATCAAGAAACACGAATGTATGCACAGGGCTTGCGTCATTGCAACTCCTATCTTGTACTCCGAGCCTGATGGCATTTAATTCGAGGCTTCAGCTTCAAACCCAGAATTGATGATTGTACCTATGTTGGCATGTGGCGTAGAAGGTAACATCCTGGCCATATCCTTCCCATTGTGTCATCATCTTCAGCTTCCAAGACCAAGACGACTGCATTACGTCAGCCCTGTCGTTGAAATTAAGGTTGTGGACCGCGCGTTGGGGGCTGTAATTCTCATTTACCAGCCAAGACGCCACCTTCCACTTTCAAGGAAGAAAAAAAGCAATACAATCCTACATGACACCTAATAACAGAAAACCTCCGAGATTCAAATTTCAGCGATCAAATCCGCAGGGGGGAGGGGGGTGAATGTTTCTCGGCAGTTGCATGGATCTAAACTTATCCTCTCCACCAAGGTATCGCCCACTCGCTAGCTCCACGACATCGTGGCCGACCACACCATCACCAGCCTTCCTTGGCCTTCCACGGACCCGGATTCTAACAGTGAAATCCAATCATCAACCGCGTCGATGGTTTAGTTGTAAAATTCTCCGTTGCCATCCAGCAGCGTCGGGGAGCCGGGGGTTCGATTCCCCCTCGACGCAATCCTTTTGATCATTTGGCCGGACAGATTCGCCATGTGTCTTTTTAGTCGGTTTACAATCAGCGGGCAGGCTCAGGGACCTTGCACTGCGGAGCTATAGCGGTACGCCCGCGATGAAGAATGGGGATTGAGTATATGGCCGGGACAAAGAGTTGCCTTTCTTTTACGAAATGGTTAGATTGCATCACCTGGGATCACGGCTCCTATGACAGGCCACCGGACAGAATGTGACGGGCCGGGCCGAAATGCAGAAATGGTGTGTTCTCGACGGTAAGAAGTCGGGAGGGTGACACGCGGAATTCATATCCCTACTCCCTACCGTAGGTAAGCGATAACGAGAACGAGGGCGACGGCATATGAGATTTACACACCATGTAAATTGCCAAGAGCGAAGTACGCCCTAGTAGGCTGGCTTTGCCGGATAGTAGGTTCTAGACCAATGAGGTCATCCGGCTCTATCAAGTGAGGCCAAACCTCAAAAGGAATCGTCCCATATCAAACGCCGTGGAGATGGTCCCTGATTCAGCACCTGATTCAGCATAATCCAAACTTGGCTCGGCGGGGTGCAGCCGATAAGGGAGTTCACCCGACCCGCGAAACTCCGTGGAACTCAATCCCCCGCCTTTCCCCTGTCGTCGGATTAGAAATCTGGCGCAAAGCTTGGCGGAACGGAGGCGCGCACGCCGGATGGGTCATGTTTACCAAGACGTTACGAATAGGAGCCTAGAAGGATTCGAAAGGAGCACCAAGGTTTCTCGAAAACGGCACAGATTGCGCTGCAGACTGGGTGCATATGCTGGCGCGCTGGTGGTGTGTTTAGTCTCCCGAAGTGCTGCGGTACACGGGCAATTGAACCATTCATGACGCGGGAGACCCCTGCGGTAGCTCCCCACCATGACGCACACGACCCCTAGTGCAATTTTTGGGCCGGCTGTGAGGGGCAATTTTGGAACGGATGGATGGCCGAGATGGAGGGGCCGAGCCGAGGACGTGGATTTTTGACAAAAAGAAGAAAGGTAGTTTGCCGTTGGAATGATGAACAGATTCACGGAACGTTGGTGTTGAGCAGGATTTGAGTGGGTGTTTTGGTCGGGTTCTGCATCCTAAATACCTTGTTGTCGAAGTAAATAAATCCTTGGCGAGTCATCCGGCATACAGAGGTCGAATCCGTCGTAGAAAAGGTAGGCTCTTCTAGGTTACATTCTTCAAAAGACCTGGATGGACCAGGGGCATCTTCGTAGTGCAGCAAAGACTCCGAATGCCGAGTGGAGCGGAACGTCGTTGATCGGTCTATGAGGTGGCGTGGCGGGGACAAGACCAGATTCAATTACAAAGCAATTATGTTTCAGTGCGGTGGACGTCAGTTTGGGGGCTCCGCTGTTGCGAACCAGAAAGCTGAATAAACATGACAAGGTGTAGAAAGAAGTGGACATGCGGGTTATTGAGACATTACAAAAGCCACCGTCCCTCCTCACCTGCATCGACATATCTTCCGAAACCTTAAGATTGAGAGCATCAAGAACAAAGCCGCCCACAGACACGTTCATCCCTCCAGCATTAGACTTCACGACCAACTCCTCCAACGACATCACCACACAGACACACACAAACCACCCAAGATGGCACCCTCAAGATACGCCGCCGAGGCCGTGGACCCCAAACCCCTCGCCGAACCCCTCAAATTCGCCTTCTCAGGCAAAGTCGCAAAGAACCGCTTCCTCAAGGGCGCAATGACGGAGCGCCTCTCGACCTGGGACCCCAAAACCCCGTCCAAGCGCGGCATCCCCACCCCCGAACTCATCAACCTCTACCGCCGCTGGGGCGAGGGCGATTTCGGCGTCCTGCTCTCCGGCAACGTCATGATCGACTACGACCAGCTTGAGGCCGCGGGTAACCCGATTATCCCGCTCGATGCGCCGTTCGAGGGCGAGCGCTTCGAAGGCTTCCGCAAGATTGCCGAGGGGGCCAAGGCGCATGGCAGTCTGTTGCATGCGCAGCTCAGTCACCCGGGAAGACAGGTCGAGCAGAAGATCAACCCGCACCCCATCTCGGCGAGCGATGTGCAGCTCGAGGGGGATGTCATGGGTATGAGGTTTGCGAAGCCGAGGGCGATGGAGAAGGAGGATTTTGAAAAGGTGATTGGTGGGTTTGCGCATGCGGCGGAGTATGTCTACAAGGCTGGCTTTGACGGAGTCGAGCTTCATGGCGCACAGTGAGTTCCCCCCTTTGTATGGTGCCATCTTGAGCAACCGACTGACTTTGTCACCAGCGGCTACCTCCTCGCGCAATTTCTCTCGCCGACAACAAACAAGCGCACCGACCAGTACGGCGGCTCCCTCACCAACCGCGCGCGCATCATCCTCGAAATCGCCGACGCCATCCGCGCCCGCGTCCCCGACCCGACCTTCAGCATCGGCATCAAGGTCAACAGCGTCGAGTTCCAGGACGAGGGCTTCTCCACCGAAGACTGCCGCGACCTCTGCTCCGCGCTCGAGGCCGCCTCCTTTGACTTCGTCGAGTTGTCCGGAGGAACGTACCAGTCCCTCGCGTTCGAGCACAAGCGCGAGTCCACAAAGAAGCGCGAGGCCTTCTTTTTGGATTTCGCTGAGAAGATTATCCCGCAGCTCAGCAAGACCAAGGCGTATGTCACGGGCGGGTTGAGAACTGTGCCTGCCATGGTGGAGGCGCTGAAGACGGTGCACGGAATCGGGCTGGCGAGACCTGCGTGTAACGAGGTTGATTTGCCGCGCAAGATTATCGCTGGCGAGGCGTCGGCTGCGATCGAGACGTTGTTGGGGGAGCAGGATTTCGGGCTGACGAATATGTTGGCCGGCACGCAGATGAGGCTCATCGGACGGGACCAGGAGCCGTTGGATGTGAGCAAGGAGATGTATAAGGATGTGTTTATGAAATCGCTGGGCACGTGGGCGGACGCGATGGGGAAGAATGAGGATGGGAGCAAGTTTGGGTATATTGACATTGAGGGGTTGGATTTGCACCCCTTTGGCAAGCCGTACGTTGCTTAGAGTCTAGATAGGTGATGGGTGCATACTGCTCGGCGTTGGATGATAAGAGTTCTAGAACAGATCATTTAGTTAGTAAAATCAGTCAAATGAGTCTTGAGTACTAGCTGGTAGGTGATGATTTTTGAAATGTAGTGATTCCAGACATTCCTTGAGTAACATTCATGTGAGATGTCAGCATGGTCCCTCGATGGTAGTTGGCTGCACACACAGACGGGGTCCCGGGATACATCAGACCATCAACATCAGACGCGTCGAATCATGCGCGGGAGTCCAAGTACCCAAACTCAATGGACATGCCACACGTTTCCTTGTTCTGGCGACTTTCTCGTGATGGAAAGTGACATCAAAAGTGCTGGAACGTAGGATGCCTTAGTGAGTGGAAAGACAAGCCGAAGCCGAAAGACCGGAGAGAAAATCAAGGCAATCCCGTCGGCAGTGACGCCGATTGCCCCGCCTTTTCCCCGCCGATTTTCCCCTGGGGTCCACGGGCGTAGGCGTGTCGCTTGAGGATACACTTGTCAGGTACTTGTCAGGTACTTCTATTGCTTCCCCGCCCCTGAAGCACCCCTGTCTTCCCGACTGCCCTGTTCTCAAGGCTGCCGACAGGGACCTTCCAGGCGCCGTGCACTAAATCCGGGCAGTGGCCTGTCATCAGCCGCCCCCTATTGGCAATCTCGTCCCAACTCACCTTCTTTCCCGCCCGTTCACCTGCCACCCTTTTTTACCATCTCCGTCACCTCACCTCCAGCTATCACCACCACCGATCGCCTCTTTTTATTGGAGATGCGATAGTTGCAGCGACAAAAGAACATCAACACCAGCTATGCCGCCGTCGACGTCTTCATTTGCTCGACCAAACCACACTCCCTAAATCCCTCCCGACCGATCCCAATCACGCCCACCATGTAGGCCCTTCCCATCTTCCTTCCCCGCAGCTACGCATGAAAGACTCCAGCTACGCATGAAAGACTCCAGCTAACCTCTTCCCTCCTCCAGGATTGAACCATCCCTCCGTGTCCGACGCGCCATCACAGCAAACGACCCCCTCCTCGTCAAACGAATCCTCAAATCCCACCCCCGCCTCCTCCACAACCCAGACCCCTCCCCCGAAGCCCTCTCCAACTCGAACCTCCACCTCGCCGCCTCCCTGGGCCACCTCCCCATCGCCAAAGTCCTCGTCGATCATGGCCACGAACACCCGGACCCGGCCCTCAACGAGCACCACCAAACAGCCCTGATGCTCGCCGCCGCCGCGGGCCACACCGAGGTCGTCCACTTCCTCTGCGAACGAACCCCGCACGTCATCCTCCGGCGCGACATACGCTGGCGGGACGCCATCATGGAAGCGAGCCGCGGCGGGCACGACACGGTGCTGCAGATCCTGCTGACGTACGTCCCCGAGGGCGCGCGCGCCGCTGTGCAGAGGGCGGACCTGGACGGCAACACGGCGCTGCATTTCGCAAGCAGTAATGGCAACTTGCTCGTGCTGAGGACGCTGCTTGCCGCTGGCGCCGACGCCGAGCGGAGGAACGTGTGGAGCTGGACGGCCATGTCGTATAGCGCTACCGTGCAGGCCGAGGTGTACCTCAAGGGGCTCGTGACTGAGGTGGAGCGGCGCAAGATGGTGAGGCAGGAGGTTGAGCAGCTCAAGAATTCTGTCAAGGGGGCGGCTAGCATCAAGGGCGGTGCCGTGCGCGTTGTTGAGGAGGATGTCGAGGTTGAGGACTGAGGTGGTTTACGGTTTGAACATTCAACCTTTTCCGAGTCATCAGCTCACGGCAGTTTGCGGGTTTCCCCATCGTCATGGGCGCGACACTCGACGGCAGTGAGGGACGATGGAAATGTCACGGCCCAGATCTTCTGAGGACGGCAGACGGATCATCCACGGCGCCCCGCAACAGCAAAGCTCTACACCACGACAGCACCCACACGGAAGCTACACAATGCTTTCCCGCAACAGCAACAATGCTGCGGAACTTCTCCTCTGGTTGGAGGAAACGTCATATTCATCGGCATCGTCAGCCTCGCTCACAGTATCTAAGGCCATGGGCAGTGGTGCGGCCGCGATCACCAAATTACAAGGGCCTAGCGAAATGACTTGGTGGAGACCCGACCGTCAGCTTGAGTTTGGCCGTCCATGATCGGTTGGCTCGTTGTCAGATGGACAGCTGCAAAAGCAGAGACCAGGATCTGGATGACGGTCAAAATGCTGGTTCAACTTTCCTCGGCTTTGCCCATACTTTGGGTTCCTTTGGGTTATGGAACTGTGAACTTAAGCTTGCAGGCCAAGAAGCAAGCCAGAATGAGGGTCAAAAGTGCCCCCCTTGGTGCTGCTTACATAAGACTGAGATCCACGATAGCTCCAGCCACAGTCCGCCACAGCAAGCCACAACCGAAAGACTGGCGCCACAGGCAGTTGAGAAGCTCATAGCACATAAATCAACCAATCGAATAACACTAAAATCATTATCACTTGAGATCTTGCAACTTCCACTTCATATTCATGTGACTACCTCGAAATCGAAATTGATGCAGAAACCTGCCATTGGTATCACCGATCCAACCCTCTGTGTCGATGATTCACCGTTGTGTGCTTGCACCCAACATGCTCGTCTTAATTCTGATAGACCCAGAATGGGACTGGCATGTTGTTTGCCGCGCATCACCACCTAGTCACAGACCATCATCTGATTAGACATTGACAGTGACTTTTCACACGGTTTGGTCCCCGATTTCGCAAGCTTAAGTCACTGATTCACACTACTGCTCAACATCATATAAATCTAGACCAAGCTGACAGCCCAAACTCTTCCTCGTCAATATTGGCATTCGTTTACACACGACCTTCAAGCTCAACACATTTTGGCTACCCAAAACCCAAGCACTCAACCTCGTCTTTTCAATCACACACAAGTCTCCTAGTCAGCAGTCACCGTGGCGTCCCATCAGTCTCCCGTCGAGGAGGAGGAACCAGAATACCTGCCATACCCAGCAACCAAGCTCATCATCGCGCAGTACTGGCACTGCTCGCGCGACCCGCCATTTTGGGGCTATCTCATCGTCGGCACCTTTTTCGACCAGCACAACAATATTGTCTGGAGCACCGAGGTTTTTGCCTTTCAGCGTGACACTCGCGGTGACCGGAGACACTGGGACGACGAGGGGCAGTTTATCGAGGTGTCGGATTCGGGTGAGTCACTGTGTTTTGTCCTCTTGCGTGGCGGTTATTCACTGCCAGTCAACCCAAGATTTGTGATGTCTGGGAAGGGTATATAACAAGCGTCCATGTTTCCACCTTTGCTGACTTTTGGTTCCTTCATATCTCCAGATGCAAACACCAGCCAAGACCTGAACGACAGATTCTCTCGCAGCCTCAACCTCGCTCAGGCCAACAGCGCACACCATCAACCGGCACACATTCCGGCGTACGGATACCAAATACTCCCACGCCACCTCTGGGATCCGTCGCACGCAGTCCCCTTTCCCGGCACTTGGATCACGGAATTCAACCCCGAGCTCGGAAACTGGGTAAACACCTGGCAGCCAAACCACAACTAATCCTACCTTGATCCACTCATACATCAGCACAACAATGTCTAACCCCGTCAACGGCCCAGACATGGAAGGCCGCCGCCCCCCCTGGGGCCCCCAAGGCATGCCCCTCCCGCGCTGGGGCGAACCCTACATCCCTCACGCCGGCTACGGCACGCCGGCACCGTCCGCAACCTACGGAACATACTACTACCCCGCGACCACATCCTACCAGCCCTACCCGGGCTCAACAGCCTACGCCTGGCCCGGTGCCGGCATGCAACAACAAGGAAGCTATTACCCAGGAACATACCCCCTCCAACCAGGCGGCCAAGCAACCTACACGCCCCGCACAGCGACCTCCCTCCCAACCCTCGACCCACGCAACCCAGCAGCGCACCTCTCCAACTCAACAGGCGGAACGGGCTGCGAACCAGGCTACAACTACTTCTTCCCCGCCGCGCACACCAAAATCCACGTCTTCCGGACGTCCACACCGCCGTGGCAACTCCCGCTCAACGCGCGGATCCAGTTCTCCGCGTTCCACGTCCCCGTGAACACGACGCTGGCGGAGGTGCTAAAGGGGTTCGGGGCGACGAACCCGAATCCGAAGAAGAATAAGTGCTTCGAGATCGTGCAGGCCGGGAACGGGCGGTGGTATAAGGGGTTGTGCTTTTCGGGGGACGATAAGGAGATGATGAAGAAGAGTGTCAAGGAGGTCGGGTGGGATGGGGAACGGAGTGGGGTTCCTGGAGGGAAGCCAGTTGTTTGTGTTTGGCTTGTTAAGGATTGAGGGTGACTTACACGACGCAGAGAGAGGTTGTGGCTGGAGATTTGAGGTTTGGGGGCTGAGGCTTGGGCATTGAGGCTTTTGGGTGGATTATGAAGAGTGAGATTTACGGTTTGTGGGGGCGGGTTTTTGGGAAGTTTAGATTTTGGGCAGATTTGCTGCGTTGGGAGGCTTGACTCGTCGGGTTCCCCGACTCAGTTTTCTCTCTTTTCCTTCTTGTCTCCTTTTCTTCTTCTTCTTTTTTTTTTTTCTGTCTGCTCGTCTAGCGGGTCTCTTTTCTCTCGATTCCACAAGTGGAGTTTATGAACTTGTTTTCTCTTCACCGTTAGCTTTTGGCATTGGCACTTGGCATTAGCACCAAGGAGAGACATTAGACTTTTGCTGCTTTGCACTTTCTAGCAGTGCGCACGCGCTTTATCTAAGCTCACGCAGAAAATTGACAGGACAGCAAAAATTAAACTCTCGCCTCTCTACGGTGCCGAAGGTTTTTTTCCTTAGTTTCTCGAGCTAAAGCTAAGCTTAAATGTTTCTTATTTCCGCAACGTCTTTACTTCCGATGTATCCATTGACGCTGCGACCTTTGGCCTATGTTTCCGTACGTGTGGAAATCGAAATGGAGTGTCAAGCAAACATGGAAACTTATTCGAGCTATCCGTTGAGAATTCAGTTATTCTTTTCGGGAGGAGGGGAATTGACGACTCAGGAACCGTTCGGGGGAAGTCGTTGTTAAGCTAAAAGGGGGAGGGGCACGTTTATGTCTACACTACCCGCCCACCGGTATCCCTGAATCCCAGGGTAATTTACAGCGAACACCGCCAAGATATCTTTGCAACTCTGGTTCGATTTCGATTCCCGACTTTGTGGTTTCCGAAACTAGTTTTCGCACCAGTGAGATGCGCCCAGCAGGAGGCGCCAGCGGGAATGGAGCCGTACCATCCCACCGGGAAACACACGAGCTTGCACTTAATCACCTACGCCGCTACGGATGCGCTTCCGATTTATTATGGAGTCTGGGCACTTTTGGGTTCTGGGGGCTTTGACATTTGGAGTTCAAGGGTGGTAACAGCTCGTTATTTCGCATTGTGGTTCGCGGTCGTTGCAAGAGGGCAGAACTTGGGAAGAGCCGAGAGAGTGAGTCTTACTTGACGTTTAATTGCATCGCCTTGTGAGAGAGATTGCAGCGTTTACCCGATTTCCAATTTTCTCTTTATTTGATGGATCTTTTGATGATGGACCTCAGTCCACGGTGACGGGAGACCCGCGTGTTCGTATGGATTCTGCGAGAATGCCAACGCGCCAAGGTGGCCGGACAGCCGAACTTGCGGACCCGTGGATCCCGCGGTTGAAAGACTGGAGTCCTGGGCGTTGAGGTTTGAAAGAGTCAGTCAGGACTCAAGACGCCGAGGGTGTAAGAAGCCAAGATTGCAAGAAGCCGAAAGTGCACTTCATTTGATAGAGCATCGTCAAATCAGTACATGAGTAAAAGTTTACAGCCTTGTCGAGTTTTTAGTTCATACCGTCAGTTGGGAAGAGAAAAGGATACGAAAACACGAGGAAAATGAAAAAAAGTATGCAGACTGCAGAGAGAATAAGAACACATTGTCGGACTTGCAAACCCTCAAAAGGCGTTTCCTCCGCCGTGCTACTACCAGTAAAGGCGAGCCCTTCCCCTTTGGACTTTGAATTGTTTACGCCAGTCCCAAATTGACGGACGAAGGAAGTGGAGGTTGATTACAAAGTGGCTCTGGACCGTTGTGCTGGACCACATGCGCTTCCTTAGCGCCTTGGCGCGAATCTATTCCCGACGCGCAGCCATCTTACCCCATGGCTCGGCTGAGGTGGGCTTTCTTGTCTTAATCTGAAAACAATTGGCAGCCTGCAGAGTGCTGACAGCTTTACGCGGAGTTTACAGACTTAAGTGGACTGAAAGGGGACTCTTGAAAAGGGTTAGCCGCAACCGCGCGCATCGGTCCTTTAATCTAGCCTCGAAGTCGTTCAGAAAGTGACCAACCAAAAATGGTCCATCCCGGCCCCCACAACCGCACATAAGGTCCTTGTTGAGGTTAGGTAAGGCAGAGCTAGCGATATTTGAAGCGAGTGGGATACGGGCTAGGGGAGAGAGTCAAGACCCAAGAGGCCATGCTAGATGCCTCCAAGTTGCCTTGATGAAAGATTTGTTCCTTGATAGAAAGTAATTCAGATCTCCCAAGCTGCGGGCTCAACAAGTGGGCTTTATCCGTATTCATAGACGCAAACGAGTAAGAAGCTCAACTGCTTTAATTGAAGCCTGTGGAGACTGCGAGCGTTGAGTGAAAATAGAGGTGGGAAAGGGTTGGATGCTTTTGGCATCTTTCGGCTAGGCCATCCCACCCCCTTGGCTAATGTATCCCGCGCAGATAGATGAGAAGGGATGCTCCGAGTATGGTACATATATCCAATGGCCGACCATGTTTCTCCCGTTGCTTGCTTGCCCTCTCTCTCTTGTCAACACCTTCATTCTTTCTCATCCTTGTTCTTTTGCTGTGTGTGCATTGCAGGACTTGGCTGGTTCATGTTCTGATATTCCCACTCAGACTTTGACCTCACATTCGTTTTTGACACTTTTACAAGTCACCCACTCTCTCTAACCCAAAACTCATCGTTCCTTTGTCCCACCAAGTTCATCACACCAAAACCAACAACCTTCAACATAAACCTTCACTCGAAAGCTCCAAAATGCCATCCATCGCATCCACAGCCGCGGCGGTCGCTTTCGCCGCCACCTCGGCCCTGGCTCTGACCTCCACCTCCGCCAAGTCCGACCTCGACGGCTCCGTCTGGAAGATCCTCGAGGGCACCTCCCCCGCCGCCTCGGCTCCGCAGGTCCGCGCGCGTAACCGCCCCACGAAGCGCCAGACGGGCTGGAACCCGCCCTCTGAGCTCTCGGGCGCGTTGAAGGAGGTATGGGCGCACTACGAGAAGACGTACGACGGCGCCATCGAGGGCAACAAGAACTGGGGTTGGGACCAGATCATGGCCAACAACGGGTGAGTCCATTCTATCTCGACGCCCGATGCAAACAACCAAACTAACACGCGCAGCTCCATCAACGTCTGCGTCCGCTGGGACTCCAACTCCCCCATCACAGCCGCCCAACGCACCAAGCTCGCCTCGACCTACGCGGCCCAGTACCAAAAGTGGTTCAAGTGGCTCTACGGCTTCGACGGGTTCCCCTACGCCAACATTGACGTCAACATCGTCGGCTACGCCACCAACAACACGGCCCTGCTCGAGGGCTCGACCGACGGCCTGGACGTGTACACCTCCTTCGCGGACCCGCAGGGCATCCCCGCGTGCGACCCGGCCTGCGAACGCGAAGCGCACCTCGACGGCGACTACAGCGGGTGCAAGGGCGGGGCAGCCAGCCACTTTGACAGCTCGCTGCAGCTTACCGACGGATTGGAGGGCGGGTTCGGGTATTCTTGGGGCCAGCAGGTGGGCAGGGAGTATATGCTGAACAACCTCGATTCTGAGAGCGTTCATATCCTGCTGCACGAGATGGGTCACACTTTTGGATTGGATGATTTTTATGATTGGGAGCCGACGGGACAGAGCAAGTTCATCATGCTTGCTGGGTCTGCTATGGAGGTTACCGACTTTGATGGGTGGATGTACCGCAACTGGTGGTACGAGCTCTCGCAGAAGCGCGGATGGGCCAAGACGGGCTCTGGATCTGGGGCTGTCGCTTCCGGTGCCGCTTCGACTTCTGCCACGCCTTCCGCTACTGCCTCTGCCTCTGCTGCGCCGATTGTCAAGGAGGAGGAGGAGGAAGCCGCTGAGACACCCGTCCCCAGGCCGACTCCCACGCCTACGCCTACGCCTACCCCGACGCCCGCGTCTTCGTCTTCCGTTGCCGATGTTCCCGTCGCGACGTGCGCCGAGACCGCTGCCGAGCCTAGCGCGGCTGCTGCGGAGGAGTCCGGATCCGAGGTGGCGGCGAAGTGGGGCCAGTGCGGTGGGGCTGGATACTCCGGGCCCACTGCTTGTGCTTCCGGGTTGACTTGCACCAAGACCAATGAGTGGTACTCGCAGTGCTTGTAAGGGGAGCGTGCACTTTACTTGAAGGCATTTTTCCACCTGGGTAGTTTTGCATCTCGAAGGAATTGCGAGGAGTTGCCCGAATGGGGTGGGATGATGGCGTGTAGTGGTTGGATGTGGGCGTGGGTTTCTGGGGGATGCGTGGGCTGGGTGCCATGGTTGACGTCACTTGGCCGCATTGCATCGGCGTTGTTACGGGCTAGACCCGATTAGTAGATCCGAGCCTTAGCCCGGATACTATTACAGCTCACTGCGCCGCTTTTATAAAGGTCCTATTTAAGCGCTTTTCTTTTATAGAACCTCTATAGAACCTCCGCTTTAAAAACCTCTACTTTTTAATTTAGATTTTATATATTAAAATCCTTTTAATATAGATTTATATAGGCTAGATTTTTAATATATTTAAGCTCTTCTTTTTATTTACTTTATTATTAATTATACTACGTAATAAAAGTAAATATAATTATTAACGTACTACTAGGCGCTTAATTAACGGGAGCTATAATATAGACCTAAGAATAGATTATTTAGGGTTTATAAGAGCTAATAGAAGCCTAGAAATAGGGTAAAATAAAAAAAGTAGCGGATATAGCGGAGTAGAAATATAAATATAAAAAATCTAACGAAATCTTATAACTATTATAAAAATAGTTTTAATAAATAAATAGACCCCCTATGCTTTTTATTAAAAAACCCGACCTTTATAAAACCCTTATTAATTTAAAAGCGCTTTTTAATAACGGAGCCTTTTATAAAAAGCCCTTATTAAACCTAGTAAAGTTCTTAAATAATAAAAATAAATATAATATTTAAAAAGCCTAGATACGTAATAAACTTATTATCGATATATTATTTTATTATATTAATAAAAAATAAAGATATTTTATTTTTTTATACTTCGTTTTTTAGGTTTAGAAAGTAATAAACTAGTTTTATTATAAAAAAAAGAAAGATAAAAAACGAGGGTCTAACGAACTCTTTATATACTTTTTATAAATATATAGCGACTTTTATTAAGCTAAAAACGCTTTTAACGAATTATTAACAATAATTATAAAAAAGGGCGAGAAGTTCGTAATATTTTTATTTTAATTTAAAAAAACCCTAGTTAATATTAAAGGCTAAAAGTAGCCCGTAAACGTTATAATTTAATATTTTACTCGCGCTTTAGCTCTATAATTAAAAGAATATATAATCGCTACGCTTTAAAATAAATCGTTATATACTAACTTTTTTTATAATATCTAAATAATAGCTAGTAATATAAAGGGCTACGACTTTAATTAACATAACCCTTAGATTTTAATATAAAAAAGATATTATATAATAAAAAAACGCGTTAATAACGACGGAGATATAACTATAACTAAAGCTATAAAGGCTATAAAGCCCGAATAAAAAATAAAGTTATTAATAAAACTAAAGACTTAGCACTACTTTAGTTATAATAAAGTTAAATATATTATAAAGAACTATAAATAAAAGTAAAAAGCCTATATAGTTTAGGTAGTGCTTATAGAGTACTATATAAAAGAAATAAACTTAAATAACAACGAATATTATTTAAAAAAAAAATAGCTCCGGTATAAAATTAAATACCGGAGCCTATAGATAAAGAACGAATAAAATAAAAGTTATTTAATTAATAATAAATTATAAATAGGCTTTCGGCGCTATTTACTACGAGGATTAATAAAATATATAAAACTTTAACGCTAATAGACTATAAATATAATATATATTTTATAATAAACTTTTAATTAACCCGCCGTCTTTATTTTTTATATATAAATAGAACGAAATATAAACTTTATAAATTTATAAATAAGTCCGCCTAAACTATAACTAAAAAGGTCGTCGCTTTTAATTTTAAAATTAGTAATTATATAAAAAAGGTATATATATATATCGTTAAAGACCTAGATATAAACGTATTTTTTAAAAAACTTTAAATAGAACGGAACCGTATTATATATAATATAGCTAAACGGCGGATTTAGTATAAAAAAGGTAAAGTAAAAGCGTACTTTAATAGATAAAAAAAGGCGCTATAATATAAAAGATTTATAAAATATAAAGCTTAAAAGCCCCCTTTTTTACCGCTTTATATTATAAAATCGTTATAAAAAAAAAGCGCTAACTAAATAAATACGCCGCGGAGATCTAGGTAATTAACTTTATTAATATTAATAAAGCCCTAAAACTAAAAAGCGAAACCGATTACTTTTTTTAGCTATTATAATAAATAAAAAAGGAATACGGTAACCTTTTTAAACTATTTAAAATATACCTCTTTTTATTAACTTAGCTAAAAATCGACTTTATAATTAACTTCGAATAATAATTTAATAAATAAAAAGCGCCCCTCCCCTAGGGCCCCCTTTATTTTATATCCTATAAAGAGCTATTAATACTACGTAATACTTTTAAAGACCTATTTAATAAAGGCTTTATTTAAACTAATAGCTCTTTTATTAAAGCCCCCGTTCTTTTTATTAAAAAACTAAGGGGCGGCTTATACTTTTATTATAATTATAAAGCGTTAAATATAATTATATAAAAAGACCGCTACCCTTTATTATTAATTAATAAAACCTTTTAAAAAGTTAATTTAATAAAGTAGTTTATAAAGCTAGACGTTATAATAGCCTTTTATAAAATTAAAGTAATTAAAAAGTATTAAAAAAAAACCGCTTTTTAAATATAATACGGCCTTTTTAAATAAATAGTTTATTTATTTAGTTTAACCGGGGCGCCCGCTATATTTTAAAAGTATATAAACTAAACCCTAAAAGAATTCCTTAACGACTTTGCTTCTATATATATAGATAATATATTAATATATTTAAACGGATCGAAAGCAGATTATAAAAAAAAAGTATAGTAAATATTATATACCCTCGTAGCGGCGGGCCTTAATCTCGACTTAGTTAAAAACGAGTTCTCTATTTAAACTATAAAATATATTAAATTTATTTTTAAAACGGGATAAAGGATTATATATAACTTAAAAAAAGTACGTACTATTTATAAATAGCTTATATTTAAAATAATAAAAGGGGTTAAAAACTTCTTTAGCTTCGCTAATTATTACTACGTATTTATATATAACTACTCCGCTATTATTAAACCCTTTAACGCCTTAATTAAAAAAAGGGCGCTATTTAAATAAATAGCCGAGTAAAACGCCGCTTTTAAAATACTTAAAGAGCGTTTTATATCTACACCCTTACTTTAAAACTTTAATTTTAACTTAGCAATAGTTATTAAAATTAATTATTTTAAATTTATATTTAAAGGCTCCTTTATATAAAAGGATCTATTAAGTATATACTAATTAATTACTTTTTATTTATAAAAGCTTATATTTATTTAATATAATTACTTAATTTATAATAAAGAGCTCTTTATTATAATATTCTATTTAAATATATAAGACGCGGAGCTATAGAGCTTTTATAAATTTAAAATTATTACGAACTATAAAAAGTTAAAGTATTTTATATAAAAATAAAAACTAACTAAGCGCTAAAACTATTAAATAAAATAACTTTTATAATATTATTTTAAAATCGAATACTACCTAGGCCGTTTATTAGCCGCCTTAAATACGCTCTCTAAATATAAATAAAACGCCCTAACTAGCTAGGATAATAAAAAAGAAAAAGAAAAGATTATTTAGGTAATTCCCGACTCTACTTAGCTAATAACTAATACGGTCCGCTAAATTAAAACTATAAAAGCACCCGAGCTACTTAAAACCGATATCTTTATAAATAACATAGAGCTTTAATAATAATAAAACGAAATAAAAATAAAAAATAAATAATATTTTAAAATATACGAAGTAATATTAAATAGAGCTAGGGCGCTCTTTTTTAAATTAAGCCTTAAATTATAAATCGTAAAATATAATATTAACGTACTTTTAAAACTAATTTAATAAAAAAGATTATAGGTCTTTAAATATAAAGACCTAAATTATAATAATAACGCACTCTAAATAGAGATAATTTAATATTACTATAGATTTTTAATAACAAACTACCTTAATAAAAATATTACTACGGCTATCCTATTTAAATAGTTCTATTAACTAGGCTAGTTTAGCGTAATAAAGAGGTTTATTTAAAACTATAATATTTATAGAAGGAGTATTATATAGTAATAAGCTAAACGTAGCTTTTTATAACCTCTTATAGTATTAAAATAAATAAAAAGCGATTTAGTAATAGACTTTATTACTAACCTCTCCCTATTATTAAAGAGCAGTGCCCAGTTCTTATAAATAATAGTTAACTACTTTATAAAGTCCGTTACTTTTAAACTAATAGTATTTATAAAAATAGAGGCCTACGTAAACCGCTTTATTAACTACTACTTTTAATTTTATAAAATACCTCGGTCTATTATAAATAATCGTAGTAATAATTAAATTAATAAATTTTAGTACTAATTTTATATAAAAATAGGGATAGAGTAGTACTTAAATACCGCTTTTTATCTATAAACCGACGGGTTAACTAAACGATTTAATTAAAAAATAAAAGTAATTTTATAATATATAATCGTATATATTTAAAATAATTAAAAAGACTAGTTATTAA